ATTTAAATTTTGCATGGATGATACCAAACTATGACACTAATTTAAAGGCTGATGTAGTGTTAGTGGGCAAATATTTTTGAGCTGAAGCTTTTAACATGCCTGTTAAGTGCCTGCGTGTCTCTGCATTTACCTGTCATAAATCGCAGCATCCATGGTCGACAATGGTAACAGTGTTTGCATTCTTTGTAGTACAAGAGGTAAAGCCTTGGATGCGGTAATATTGTACTTAGTCGATGTAATCCTTCAGTCTACACTCATTGGTATAGCACCAATGATGCCATGAGTGTATAAGCTCTGGGAAGTGAATCTATGTGAATTATTGTATTTGGAAGGAAGAGGATCATCACTACTCCTAGTATATCTTAACAGTAGATTTTAGTGCTTGTGTATCGTTATCCCACTGCCTGTCCGTCCCTCAGCAGTCTACTTATCTGTTTCTATACTGTGTAAGTATAACTTTTTCAATGTATACTCTCCTCGGATAGGTTTGTTCGTAATGTATTGCAAGTGACTTATCATCTATGCAGCTCTACTCAGACTAAAAATAAAAGTATTTATTTTTATTTATATGTAGCTATAGCGTGCATTTACTTATCTTTTTCTAGGTGCCTGTACAATTGTTTAGCCCTACAAAGGTACTGGTATACTCTAGATTTGAAGCTGGCATCTTAAATTAGTTTATTAGTGGAAGTAACAATGTGTTTACAACCAATATTACTATCCTCAGATGTGCTGTGAAAACTCTATGGAAATTTAATGACATTGTAAGAACTGTGTGAAGGTTAATGTTATGTTTTTTTATTGTGGTCCCTGTCTCATGCAAATGACACATAATTACTTTGCAGTGGCATAGTATATATGCCACTGCAAGTCTTGCCACATATGTAGCAAGACCTACATGCAGTGCACTTGAGCATCACTTCACATAATTAGTGTACAGCCTTTACCCACCAGTGAACTGAATTTTTTTCAAGCAGACTAACAGACAGCTGTATGGGAAATGTGTTGATGTGCAAACTTTGAAGTCTTTTAGAGGAATGTGAACGAAATAGGGTCTATATTTGTCAATATAAACACTGTTTGCACCAAGAAGCGTAGAAGCTTAGAATTGTATTATTCATGTATTGTCTAGAATTTCTTTGCGCTGCCGCTTTTCAGCCATGTGTCCTAACATGCTTTGTTAGTGTGTTGTGAATGAGCCAAGCTATGTAAATAAACAGAGTAATATTGCAGACATGTACGAAATATTGGTGCACAGCCCTTTTCTTTAGCATGACATTTTCAAGGGCTTTATTCTTGTGTTTCTTTAAACAACTGCTTGTTATTGGGCAGCAGCAGAAACTATGTATCAAGCTTTTCTGAGATTGTTCGAAAAACACCGAGTTCAGACATATCAGTGCTGGTGGATTTCTTTTGTAAGTTCATTTCTGCATATTCAAAATGAGTGTAATGAGTGTATTTCTGCATATTCAAAAGTCGCTCCTGTGTCTTGTAATAAAAATATTGTAAGAAAGGCAACCTTTTGCGTCTAGGTACAAAACACCCTTACCTTCACCACTATAGCCTGCTCGATTACACCGGATTAGTTGAGTAGCAGCGCAGCTTCATTAAAATGTAAGGTAACTGGTCGCGTTAAACAGGGGAAGACATTTGAGGCACATTTTCAAACATTGCATGCATCGATTTATGCGTGGTTTCACTGATGTGGTGCACCTGGAGCGTTGTTTACTTATACTTGGCGAGATAGTGCATGGATTGCTCGATGGCTTAAGGCCATCGAGCAAATTCTTTTTTAGCTACAGTCGTTGATGAAAGGCGAGTGCTTGGCTTTCACAGCACACCAAAATGTCTATTGCAACGTACGCGGCATCCCGTGAGCGCTGTAGCAGACGCTCGGGGAACTTAAACCTAAATGCAGCAAATCATTGGCTATCATCGTATACTCTCAATGCTAGACGCTTTGCGTGCTACCTTGATATTATCAGCACACACTTCTTTCTTTCCTTGTCGTTTCATCGGCTATCGTGTGTCGTCCTCGCTCTCTTAAGTGCCGAAAAAGTTAAATTCGTACCCGCGCTATAGTAATCCCTCCAGATAAGATAATTTTTTGGCTAAGAAAATGCGTAGCCAAAAGAAAGCTTTGTGGATTCGGCCCCAGATTTTTAACTGTTCGCTTACCTATCTATAAAAGTTTTCTTGTTAATAAAATTTTACTTAGATGGCAGTGCCTGTCTCATCTGTTTATTGCCTGTTATCATGTTTTCTCGCGCTGTTAACCACAAGTAAAAGTCCGTTACCACTCCATTTTTCAATGATCAAGGTTATTTCATTCGGGCAGTTGAGTAAAATAAAAAAATCTGTGTTTAATAATTTGAGGGTTTCTATCATGTTCTGTTTTAAATGGACTGATGTGGAGAAGTTGAGTTCTATACTATACCTTGGCTAATCCATTTATATAAGTTTAGCAACGACAAACAGCGCTTTCTAAAAAAAAAAAACAGCAACTGAAGAGAAAAAGCATACAGCACACAAACTAGCTTAAATAACACGCTTATGTACAATTCTCTTGCAGTAGTTCACGTGGCAATAAAGCGTCCACTCGCACACGTTTCTAGTTTGCGAATGGTATGTGGACTAGCACATCATTCCGTATACTGAAAAGCCTAGTGATTCATTACAAGCGCTACTCTAGTCCATTGTATACTATGACGTATTTGAGGAAGGCATTAACCTTTTTTCTCATTATGTACTTCAAGTGACATTGATTGATTTGTGGGGTTTAACGTCCCAAAACCACTATTTGATTATGAGAGACGCCGTAGTGGAGGGCTCCGGAAGTTTTGACCACCTGGGGTTCTTTAACGTGCACCCAAATCTGAGTACACGGGCCTACAACATTTCCGCCTCCATCGGAAATGCAGCCGCCACAGCCGGGATTTGATCCCGCGACCTGCGGGTCAGCAGCCGAGTACCTTAGCCACTAGACCACCGTGGCGGGGCGTACTTCAAGTGACAGTCCAAGTGGTTCCCGTAGTGTAAGCGGGCACTGGTCCAAACTTGCTGCTTTTTATTTTTTTCTTTCGTTCGTTTACATTGCACAATCTAAAGAAATATGCACGGAATTCTAATCTTCATGACCACAGTAGCATTCCGGTGAGTTGTATCGGCGTATCTTGTGCAGAAAGCTGCGTGCACTCCATAATTTCAGTCAAACTCTGTGAAGTAATGTGTCAATTTATAGTTATTTATTTATAGCGTTCAGAGAGATATTTCACTAATGAATATTTTGTTGTAGATCTGCCTCCTAAAGTAACGTTTGCTTTACTTGAAGCACTCCTACATAATACTCTACCTAGCTCCTTGGATTAATATAGTTCGCATATCTACTCCAGACATATCGATTGCGCAATGTCGTTCTTCGTTCAAGGCTTTATCGACTCGTCTGCCTCCTCATTGCCCATTATTTTTATGTAGCTGTGCATTCAATGAACTACGATGATGTGAGCCTACGCTAAGGCGTGTTGAACAGTTTCTGCAGTACATCGGGGTATTTCGTCATTTTCGGAAGGTGATCTCGCATTTTCGATTATTTGATGGGCGATTGCTATTCGTAGATCTTTTCGCAGTGTCCTGTCTAGGAATTGTCGCAGGTAACTTTAATGGCTTCAAAATAAGCTGATTCTGATGCAATCGGTGAAGATTTGTGTGATAGTTTGTACGTTCTCATCTCTTCAAGTTCTGGTATAAAGACTGCAGAGGCTGACACTTGTTCAGTGCAGGACTCCTCTCTACGTATCTTTGTTCTTCTACTGTGCCTTGTATAAAAATGATGAAGCACCATCTATACAGCCAACATAGAGGCGCCACGGTGGCTTTCACGTGCATATTATCTTTGTCATCATCCAGAACGGCCAGTGCATAAAGGTGGGTTTGACAATGTCTGTCATTTACATCCCGGTACTGTTGCCTGGAATGATGACATGCTATCTTGGAGTCGTGTGAAAGTATTGTGTGTTAGCTTGCCAGGTAAAGGATGACCATCATACTGCGTGAGATGTCTAAATAAATCTCTTGACGTTTGCCTAGCTTGGAGTACTGCCCAATGAGGCTGTACAGCCTGTGCATTTTTCTAATAGCAGTAGTGGTAGACGGTGACAACCCCATACATACTCGCAGGCTCTTTTACAACTAAGTGTGAAGACTTCTTTCAATAGAGGCTGGAAGTATAAGCAGAGTAGAGGCAGGGAGTAAATTTCGAGAGCGTATCTACGCAGAGCCAACAGTGACTCTGTAGTACCTCCCCATTTAGCCCCGCATAAATGTTGGAGGATTAAAAAAAAAAGGTTTTAGACAACAAACGATTAGCGAAAATTCTATTTCACTCTGGCACGAATCATCCTCAATGAAATGACATACGTCGACTTTTTAAAACTGCATTTCATTAATGTGCGCTAAGATTTATTACTCAATAGCTTGCATACTCATTAGAGATTGGTTTCCAACCAGTCTTAGTGCGCAAAGGAGTACCGAGTTACCTGAGATTGATGTAAATAAAGATCAGTGGTGGGGAGAAACCTCAAGCCGTGATTAACTGCTCTTCTTTTTCGAAAGCCCGAGGATGACGTGAGGTATACAAAAAAAAAAAAAAACGTTCTTCCGATCACGTCGTACGGCAAGTAAAAGCTGAAAAAAATCAAGCCTTTTTACCCATGAAAAACCTCCACGAGGACTGGAAGTAATTGGAAGCCGCTATTACCAAGAACGTAAAGCAGCAACGAAAGTGTGCTCATGTTTCAGACATTCCCAGACGTAATACTACCTCGCTATGCCTTAAACACCGCAATGCTGACCACATGGGAGACGGCCTTTCTTAGGACTCTCAGCTACGAGAAATGCAGCTGTTTCCCGGCCAGAGCGTGACTCGGCTGCGCGGATTGTCTTACCATTCGAGACTGGTTAAAAAGCGCGTTGTGGCCTCCATGGCCCGATCGTCTGAGGGCGCGGAGAGCGGGGACGCTGTTGGTCATTTCGAAGCGCCGAATACTGGGCGTGATGTACACGCTTTTCATCATCTTTCTTTTCAACATTTACGTTATTCCGGTGCTGCTGATACCTCTCAATGACACAGGTAAGACCATTGAGTTATTTGGAGTTTTTTGCACTAGTGTTATAAAAAAGAACAAGTGATTAACGTTGAAATGTTAATTGATATGTGGGGTTTAACGTCCCAAAACCGCCATATTATTATGAGAGACGCAACGTTGAAATGTTCAGTTTCCTGTCAAGCTCATATGTAAATATGTAGTTGAGAAGTTATGCATGCGAAGCGTCACCGTAGCACAGCTATAGGTGCGGTCAGCGTCAAAGCCACCTTTACTAAGCAATTGAAACTTGCTTTGAATTAATAATCAAATCATGTAAGGAACTGCGCTTCATAACAATGAAGGCTGTCAGAAATATGTGGAAGAATCGCAATGATAAAAGCTTCGTAAAAAAACACAAGTTATCTAAGTTCTTCATGAGAAACATTCGTTTTATAACACACCATGCATCTATGCACAAAAGACGACATGCCAAATACTGCTGAAACAAGAACTAGTTTTGCATCCCCAAACAAGAAGTATAGCTTACAGATGCGCGTTTAAACAATACTACCTATACATCTTGCCCGGGTTGTGAAGCCAGTAGTGCCAAAATAATAAATTTGTTAAACCACTGTCTTCCTAAATACCTAAAATTCATACTCATCTTTTGATTTCATGCGAATTGTGTGAACTAACAGGTGGATGTCCTTAGTGCGGGAGGTGATGCTCAATATAGACTGTAAAGTGAATAAGGCTTTGGATTGGAGTTCATATCAGATGTTCGAACTTAAGCTTTATGGTTTAGTTGGAATTCAACTCTGGAAAGAACATGAAAGCCACCTTTACCAATAAGTTATCAATCCAGGGGGACACAATATAAGACGTCATCGCTTTCGAACGTCATAATCACTAGCATTGATCAATAAACTTTTTAGTGGCTCTAGCGAACCAGCATGCTTGTGTTGAAAAGTTAGAGGTGTCACGTGTTTACACAGTTACTGTAGACAATAAGACGTTAACTGGCGCCGAAGAACTCAGCCAGAGGCTATCATTCCCACGATCAAACGTGATCTCTACTTTCTCTTTGTCTTCGCTGGCTGGCTGCGTTTATTATATTTTCAACAGTTACTCTGAAAAAAAATTCATCTGACATGTCTGTGCCTCGAGATATCCCACTTGAAAGTTTAATTGCGGTTTGCATTATCAAGCATGCAGGGCGGAACTAATCGGCACGATGTTCCTCCCGTGTGTGACGAGCAGTCATTGCTTGCTATCGCCAGCCGGTAGCGAGAGGATAATCGTTATCAAACCTGCCTATGCCTTCAACCCGTTGTCAGATTAAACGCGGCATACAACTGCCGTGGCACATCCGGGAGGAGCTTTGAGCCAGGGCTCACCACCTCACATGCGCAAGCCTACAAACTGCGATGAAACTTTGCAGCGGGATACCTCGAAGTACATACATGCGAGAAAATTTCTTTAAAGTGTGACTGTGCATAAACGTGACTGCTTCCAACTTTTCAATACAAACATGTCCGCTCGCTACACTCGCTTAAAAGTTAATTATTCAATGTTAGTTGATTGATGGCTAACAGCGATAGTTAATGTCTCACTTTGTGACCACCTGGATACATAATGTATCTGCAAAAGTGGTTCTAACAAGCCCCCAGCATTGAATTTTAAGGAAAACATAAAAGCTAATTTTGAACATCCTGCAGCATCTGTTAAATGGTATGGATATTTAAGTCACTTAGAAACAGCAGGGGCCTTGATCATAAGAGGAAAATTTACAGGACCAAATGACCTGCTGCGCCTTTTTGAGGAAAAGTGGCTCCACAAAGCCTAACAGGCGCTTGGTTTTCCTAGTGTTTTTGTTGTTGTTTTTTTTGCCAGGCGTCTTAATTGTTTTATTTCGATGCATAAAAGTTTCACCCACAGAGACTGTTAGCAACGCTTTAAGTACACCGCACTATATTGTTCGAAAGTATTCGTGGCTGTTCTCAAGATAATTTCGTTAAAATTATGCGCAGAACGGGAATAGCGAATTATTCGCGAGCTTACGAGAGCACCCCGATAACATTAAAAGATTTGATGACTGGTGTGATACAAATGACGACGCGCCCCACCGATGATCATGTTACAGACGGTCGATTATCTGTTCCCGATATCAGTGTACATAGCTTATTGCCTCCGCTTTAGATTTTATTTTCTGGACACAAGTTCGCCCGCATCAAAAGTTTCGTGTTGAACGTGGCGACTGCTGCCTTTTTTGCGCTAAGTTCCTCTTTAGGAGGGAGGGCGAAGGTTAGTCGCATCGCCCCCGCCCTGAAACGTCAATGTATGCGACAGGGTTTGCACCCTCCTCTTTTTTGGGTTATTGCGTAAGGGGAAGGCTTCCTGTCCCTCTTCTCAGGTGACTAGGAAGAGGGGAGGAAGATATCCTCTCCGGGGCTGTCTATGGTGTCGATGTCAGGACAATATAATTCAGAAAACTGTGCTGTACTTGGTATACGTGTAGTATATTTTTTATATTCACTACAGTGTAAATTCCTTGTGGAGTGTTTCAAAGAAACAACTTCTTATCTAAGCTGTATACGAGGCTTAACTTCAAATGTGACACGAAGCACCTTTAGATGCTTCATATTGTGAATGAGTTCCTGTTTCATATTATAGATGAATTTAACACAACGCTGGGCGAAGTCAGTCAAATGAATGTAATCTTTCTCGACTCCAAAAAAAAAAAAACACTCTGCCTGCGTATACCGTTATAATTTATTGACAGAGCATGGGAGCCTTTTGAGGAAGAATCAACTTGTAAAGTGTTCAGACTATTATCATTATAACTGCCATCAATACGTGCAAAAAGCTACAATGCAGTTCAAAAAATTGGCCCCGTATCTGCATGTTACACTGCAAATGTCGTTGAAAGATGACAGTCTTGCGTCTGGAACATCAAATAAATAAAACATTTACTTGATGTTCTGCTCGAGAAAATTGGTGAATGGTATACTGGAGGCACTGCGTTAGAGTGCCTCGAGCGTGCAGCGGAGGCGAACGAGCACGTCAAATTAAGTCACGCGTGAGACATGAGCGCTATCTGGCAGTTTTCTTAAAAAACGAAGCGCGCGCGGCCTGCGCTTCCGTCTCGGAGGTGATAAGATGGAGAACGCAAGGCAACGGGTAGGTGCCACCACCGCGTCGTCTTAGCAAAGCGTTGAAAACACTTGCTATTTCGTGCAAGCGGTGCCTGGTCAGCGCAACGTGGTAAACGCTACGGTCCTTATAATTAGTTATGTATGCATCTTCTAGTATAAAAGCACACATACAGAATATTGAAGTGTCGTTATGCTGCCTCAGATGTGCGCAATCATTGTTTTTTAATTGACAATCGCACAAGTATGAACGCTGAATCTTGAGCAACATTCGTGGGCCCTGAGGATAAGGTTGGCTGTTTGGAATATCGTTTGGCCACTTTGGTGCCGTATAGGGTGCCGTTAAAGGCAGACAAACAGACAAGTGTACAGACAGACAGACAGGCAGACAGACCAAATTTTTGCGTCGGAAGTCCCCAAGAAAGACTATCGTCTTTAAAGAAAGCAACAGTGCTTTCCGGAGTACCTCAAGGCCCATTCTTTTTCTTATTTATCCTGAGTTACCTGGCCATCGACAATCCTCTACGCAGCCGTTTTTCGCAGACGACTGCACCATCTAGTAAAATATTGAGGCAATTGAGGATAGAGCCACCCCAAACATCTATTTAATGACTTTAGCTACCTGGTGTTCTACGTGGGAGGTGAAATCGAACACTGCGAAATGCGCTCAGATATCAATTACCCGTGAACATAAACCGCGTCCCTACGCATGTAATGTAAACAATAGCCTATTAATTTTTGTTCAGCAACTTAAATAACTGGGTTTACCTATCGACGCTAGCTTAAACCAAAACCAATATACTAAAAAATAAAAACAAAGAGACATTGTGGCTGTAGCTTCAAAACGGCACTGGTTCCTCAGGCATCCTATAAAACTCTGCAAAAACAAGACAAAATTATTTACATACACGTCCATCATACGAACGTTACTCAATATGCAGGTGTAGTTTGGGATCGATACACTGAAACAAACAAGGGCATAAAACTTGTTCAGAGAAATGCGATTCGTTATGTTCACAATGAATATTGCCAAGTGTTTATATGCAGTCTCGTTCTTACACACTGTAATCACAGTGGGATTGGCTCCGTCACAAGTTGCAGTGCAGAATCATTTAGTGACAAATCAAGTTAATCTTCTAGGTATACACGCAGTTTTACACGACATGACTTACCGGGATGAAACACAAGTACTAAAGTGAACTACGGTTTCTTTTTCATAAGAGCCGTGGTAAGCGATCTTTTTCGAAGTAGGGTAACTGTGACCTGCAACACTGTGTAAAGAGAGTTTGCCAATTCAGCACCACCAGTTTGTTCATTATTACATACTGTTCCTAATCAGCGGTCACCACGCACAAAGCACAGTGAATGTTCTCAAAGCAATTAGGGCAAATAATCGTTGACTTACGTTCAAGCACCAATTCCCAACTAAAAGGAACTTCAGTGTTTCGCCTTGATCTCACGATTTAAGCACGGACATGTTTATTAGTTGCACTCTCGATCGTCAGACAAGCTCTCATAAAATTTCAACTCAACACTTTCAAAATCGATAAATTCTATCCGCACTCATTTGTGAAGGTTGTCTCACCTCCTCTGTCAAATATTGCTGCATGGATAACGGCGAAGTCGTCGTGTTAGCAAAAGAAAAAGAAGAAAAAAAAACACTTACATAATCGAGCAGTGGTTTTTAGACTGTGAGGGACAACATTGCAAACGTTCGTTCATTAATTCTTTGTTCATTAATTCACAAAACTTCATTAACAAGAGTCCTGAAGTCCAGCCTTTTCACGCCGAGGTTGGCCGCGTCTTCGTTGTCATCAACAGGCTGAGCCCTAAGCGCCGTCGTGTACCCTCTGTGAGGCCCGTAGTTGATCTTGATATGAAAATACTTCATATCATCTTCTTGCAGTGAAGACATTATAAAGGCGACGCTCCTTAAGCTGGAGGCTTGTCCGTTAGCCGGTGCACCATAGTAGTGACTACGGGGACGCTGGTGACGGAGATGGTCACGGACAACGACTGGCTTGTGCAGTGCATGACGTCTCGAGATGCTCTACGATGCATTTCGCCCGACTGAAACAAGCAACAACCACCGGGAGAACGTGTCCAAACCTTGTCTTTGCCGACTTCAGGCTGGATTCGATACCACAATGTAGTAATAATGATTCACAACTCAACACAACGTACCATTTTTGACTAATAAACAATGTATATACCTGTACACTACTTGGCAATAATTTACACGTATGAGTGGTCAGTGTCACTGGTGACTTACGGTAACACCGAACAATCGCGCTGCTTCTTTCACTCATCATCATTCACTTCGTGGATATGCCGTGTTTTCGCTTCCTTTGGGGATGACGAGAGTCGCGGTATCAGCCCTGTACAGCATCTATCTGAGCTCAATGATGCATTCGCCTCTTTCGTTTTGCAGTTCGGCTCCCGGTGCCAAGCTTGATGGAAGTATGCGCTCAGTGTGAGTGCAATCCCAACAACTTGATCATGTGCAGAGTGAACCCCAGCACCGGATGCTACTGCGTGAGGGGATTCTACCGCCTCGGCGTAGACGGAAAGTGCATGGAGCGGGCACTCTGCGAGCAGAGATGAACAAAAAAAGGCGATAAATAACTCCACTGCTTATATTTCTACGCCTGTCCTTGGGCATACTAATGCATATAATCACTACGCTGGCCTGTAATATAATCTAGACAGAGATGATAAGAATGATACCTATGCTGCAAGAAGCTGCCGAAGGCCTTCAAGAACGCAACGAAGCATTACATACAGTTGCACCGGGAACACGTATTACAACGCGAAAATCGGAACAATGGATCGAAATCGCAACATCGGCAATGTGCAAATACTACAGGTTTAAATTGTTGGCTCGTCAAGAGGTCGATAAATTTCTGTTCATACTTTGCCATTCAATCATGTTTCGTCTGAATGTATCGTTCTTCAGCTTCTCTTGTAGCGAAAGAATAAATATTTTCAAATAAAGTTGTGGTATAATAAAAACGTGTTGAGAAATGGCTGCGTTTTAAACGGTGATTGGTTGTCACTCGAGAACAATAGAAATGTTTCTTTCGACCTTGATGGATGGTGGTGGGCTAAGATGGTGCGTGTTGGGTATTTCTGGACACTGAGGAATAATGTGGGCCTCTTTTTAAAATTTATCTCTATTGGCAAGAATATTCATACCATTGGCGACATAAAGCGTTTTCGGAGGACAAAAATGCACTGTATAGCAGATATACTCACTTCCGAACGAAAGACCAGGGATTCATCACTGTAATTTTCGCCTGACGACAAACTTCCGCTGATTTTTTTTTGGCGATGGAATGGAAGCACCCAAAGACTTCAACGTTTACGCAATGTGAGGAGGCAAATTAAATTACAGCTGTTGTCTGACATTTGCGGTTTAGTCACATATTTATTTCAAGAATAGAAATTATTCTCGCCGTGTTTTTATCTACGATGGCGTCTGAAAATGAAAATTAACGCTATACTAAAAAAACAGAAACCTGAAACATTCCTAGAAGTATAAAAAAAAAGATTGAAAAGCGGTGAGCGAAAAAAAGATGTATGAAAAAAATTTTGTCTTGGGTTCTAACAGTGACGTAAAATACTCATGCGCATACGAGTAGCTCGAAGCCACATTAAAGGAAGCAAGTAAATATGTCTAGATATTGAAGCTGTGTAATACGAATTCCGATAAAACAGTACAACTAAAAACGCATTAACATTACGTGGCCCAGTACAAGAATAACGCACGAATGAACGTTATATAGGTGTCTCACGCTTTCGAATTTGCTCAGCCAACATAATCAATGCTAATTAGCCATTATTTATTTGCATATAAGTGGTAAGTTGTGGTTTATTTAGATCTTTACGTCGATAAAGAGGTATTCACCCTCACCTGTAACGATTTTTACATGCAACACACGTCAGAGTGAGTATCTTGTTTTTGAGCATGCTTCGTTATCTTCAAGATTCATCTATGTAAACCAGTAAAACTTCTTCATTTCATCACACTGTGCTCAGGGGCAAGCTTGAGGATGCATTTCATGCCTTCGCAGTACGTATCATCTTGTCTAACATGATGCCGTTTGTTTTTTAGTGCAGAAAGTTTCTCATATATTGCGATGACACGTGATCGACGAGCAAACGGGGAACCACATGAAAGTGTGTTTTATCGATCACTGAAAAGACTGCGACGTCTTCTTCGTCCCTGCGCTCAACCACCGCCTCCTTTATTTGATTCAATAGTACCAGGCAAAAGGCAACGCGCGCTTATCAACGGGAGCCGTCGGTCGGCGTTAGTTCAGGGAGTGGTGGCGATGCGACGCTACGTGATCGGTACAGCGCTGCTTGCAGTTTGAGTCCCACATGCTTCCGAGCGCTTTGTCCCGGAGCTGTGATGGACGTGTTGCGACTCCCGTAGTATACGTCTGCCATATTTGTTCCTTCGTGTTCTTTGTTTGTTGCTCGAAGCTCTGCCGCCACCACCTCATAACCAGCTCTGCGGTGACGCTTCCTCAGTGGTTCTGGTTACCCTACATTGGTGGCCTGCATATCAAACGGCGACACGATATCTCAAAACGCCGTATCTTTTACAGAGGCAGCGTGGCCGCTATTATTGTGAGCACGGGGAATGTAATACGCCGCCCCACGGATCTGTTCACAACTGAACAAAAGTCACAATTTTATTTCCGTAGAAAGGAACTGCATGAAGTGTTCTCTCCCCAATGACCGCAAAGCACATGCGAAGGCTAGACGATATGTGAGGGCAGGAAAGGTTTAGAGGAGAGGATGGTGAACGGCTGAATCGGGTGCACCTGGCTGGCATTGATAATGTAGAGGAGGCGTTCGCACGGCCATGGAAGAACACTAGAACTGCTTCGTTGTTGCCGACACTGCCACGTATACGCGCGACAATTTTTTTCCCTTAAAAAAAAAAACGAAAAATGATACCAGTGTTTAACGTTCAGCAAACAAGACAGAGACAGCGCAGTTGATCACTAAATGTATGGCTAGATACGAAGCTGGTGAGCAATTTCTGGTAAAAGTGTTCGGCTCGTTGAACACCAAGGGCCGTCGGAACACTAAGGACCGTCCGTAGCTGATTTGACGCAGGACTGCGCAAGGTCCGAAGATTTCTCGCAACGAGTTTTCGGAGTGTCTACACCGACGAATGGGTGTCTAGACCCACACTTTGTCACCAACGTTGCATAAGACAGGTCTGTGCTGGAGGTTGTAATATTTAGCATCGTTGTCTTGTTGTGCAGTGATTCCCAACCATGCAGGCAAGTGATCTGGCTTCTGCTCGCTGCGTAACACTTCAGTGTCCGCCTCATCGCCATCATTTTCGTGAGGGACTAACATTGTCAAAACTTCACGTGCGTAAAGAACACTAAAGGGTGCCTTCCTTGTGGTCTCTTGACCAGCCATGTTGTACGCGAATGTGACGTACGGGAAGATGTCGTCTGACTTCTCGTATTCAGGCACAGTAAAAAAAAAAAACGAAAGATTTCCGGAAATGTCGAAGCCATGCACCTTTGTGACTAAAACAAAGATGTCATCTGCTAACTTTGTTACCCTTTTGGAAGCCTATCTCAGCCACACTTTCGTTTCTTTTCAACGTGGCATGTTTTCAGAGTGCAAGGGCATTCGCATTGGATCACGAGTAGCACCTAGTTTATGTGACCTCCTTTTATGGTCGTTTGACCACGCACTACAAAGTTTTTACTTCATCTCTTCCGAATGTTGTTAAAGTTTTTAGATACGTCAATAATTTTTTAAGTGTGATTGACAATAGATGCCATTTTCCTTGGCCTGTGATGGTTGAGCAGATTTTAGATGTTTTTAGAGCAAACGCTAAGGGGCTCACGTTCTATTTATTTTTATTTATTTATTTACAATACTGCTAGCCCTTGCGGGCTGTAGCAGGGGTGGGAGGTGAACAGGTTAACAATACACAAACAATGTTAGGCAAAAAACAAGTCCAGCCGTCATTGAAAATCCTGTGAGGATCTACATCCTGTAAGTACCTCGGGAGGAAGCGCATTCCAGTCAACAATAGATCGCACCAGAAACGAAAACTTAAATACATCCACCCGCGGTACATAAGCTTGGACAGAAAATGAGTGATTGGTACGAGCCGATACTCGTCCTGGGGGGCGCAGGTATACACTGGGATCCAGCTTGTAGTTTTTATGATACAGGTCATAAATAAATTTTAAGCGAGCTATTTTTCTACGTGTAGCTAACGATTGAAGGTCAGCCCTAGCAAGCAAAAGTGATACAGACTGTGTTCTCATGTAATTTGAATAAATAAACCTTGCGGCCAATCTTTGTGCTCGTTCAAGTTTGTTAATTTCAGTTTTAGTATGCGGATCCCAGATGATAGCTGCGTACTCCAGCGTTGGTCTAACAATAGTCTTATACGCCAACAATTTAACAAAGGGCGGTGCATTACGGAGTTTCCTTCTCAGAAAACCCAGCTTTCGCTTCGCCAGTCCTGTAATATTGTCAATATGCTTGTCCCACTTTAAACTGCTGGATATAGTGTTAGCGTCCTCTATCCCGCTTTTGGTAAAATTTAGGGTGTCGTCGGTATGGCCGTAAAAAAGGTGAAAATTGATAGAAGACACAACACACAACTCACGCACTGTTAAGAAAATGTAAACAAAAGAAGGCTGTATTTAATTTAAAAACTAGGTTACAATTATTACTCGCGCAACCGTTCAATTCCGCACATCGCACAACGCACAACCGCTCAAGTCGCTCGCAATTCGCAGACTCTTGTTCGCTCGCCGTTCTCGCTGCGTCTCTGGCTCTTCCCGCGCTTTCTCGCTCTCCTCTGTCGACCACAGATCCGAGTACACATACGCGCACGCTGACACAAACGCGCACGCACCACACACACACACACACACACGCACGTGCACAAATTGTTCCACGAAGTCAGTGGTAGAGGTCCGTCGCTTAGCCATTCGGGGAAACAGAGTCGAACGTCCCACAGACCACGGATGCACAAAGGGACATGTTTCTCTCTTCTTGCACCCGAACTGGCAAGGTGCATTAAAGCGGGCCGCCGCCTTTGTGCTGACCCGGCGCCCGCAGGTCTGGGAGGCTCGCCGATCGCTGCTGCCCGTAAACAAGGAGGACGGCCCCCTCAAATGACCAACGGACACTCGCACGGCACAACACACGCAAAAAGAAAGAAATAAAACAAAACTTAGAAGATTTGAGGCAGTCGCGTACACTCGGTCGTCCTGACAGTCATTAACGTCCTCGTTAATGGAAAAAAAAAATCATAAACAAACCCACACGCCAATACACAAACAGAATTGTTTCCTTCGCGAAGAAGACAAGAAAAAAAAAAGCAACTGTTTAAGTACGCACAGTTCACTCGGTAAATCTCGGCACGCACTGAAGTTCTCAACAGACGCCAGCGCAACTATGGCGCACTCGCATAGGGATGGGTCTTGGCGCAGCTACGGGCCGAACGTCTCAGTCGCTGCACCTCACATTCGGGGGCGTCCGACTCCTGCGCAGACTCTCCGTCGTCATCAAGGTGTGAATGCGTATTGGTCAATGTCCAGCACTTCAACTGCGACACGTGCGCAGTGGTCGCGAAGCGGCTCGCCCTTCTTTCGTCAAGGTCGGCAACTCGATACGTGTCAGCTGGCAACACTGCCGTGATTACAAGGGGGCTCCTATATTTTGGCTGGGCTTTGGCAGGCTTTCCCGTCTGTTCTGGAGCCCTCGTCATGAAGACCACGTCATCGACACCGTACATTTTAGCCGGGAATTGGCGCTTGTCGTAAGCGACCTTCATCTTCTTCTGCTCGCTCACGAGGCGCTGCTGTACACGTTCGCGCTGCCCGCCAGGCTCCTCCCACTCTGACGCTTTAGATTCAACCAAGCGCTTCAGTGCCACGCTGTGAAATTCCGGTCGATAACCGTGTAACATCTCGAAGGAAGTCTTCCCAGTCGTCTCGTTTACAGCGTTGTTCAAGCTGCAC